AATTTAAAAAGTATTAGTTGGTTTTTCCTTTAAAAAAAGTATTAAGATTTTTAAATGTCATTTTCAAATGAGAATATGAAATTAAGTGAGGACAATTACTTGTCTTGAATTTTTTCTTGTCAAATTTATAACTATATCAACTTTAGTTTGACAATTATTGTAAAAATCAAGTAAGACTACTGGATGAACAACATTTTGTTATTCCTTCCTTCCTTCCTTCCTTTTTTTCTTTTTTATGCAGGGGGTTGAACTCAGGCGCATTTTACCACTGAGCCACACCCTCAGCTCATTTTATTTGTTATTTTGAGTCAAGGGTCTCCCTAAGTTGCTGAGGCTGGCTTCAAACTTCTGGTCCTCCTGCTTCAGTCTGGGATCACAAGCATGTGTCACAGTGCCCAGTTAAAATTTTAAATTTTTAAAAATGTACTAACCAAAAAATTTGAAAGTATTTATTTTCAATATTAATTGTCAAATGATATCTGTCAGTTTAGGGAGAGATGGTTGTTAGAAGAGACACAAGACTGCAAAGTTCACAAAAACAATAAAATTCCCTAGTAGGTTAAGAGTCAAAGGCATCTTCAGGAGAAGTAATTCTAGTAATATGAATCAGAAATAGGTGTCCTCACACAATAGTCTACAAAGCACTGAATAATCTAGTTCTCTGCTTCCATTTGACACTGCCGTTCCTGCTTCTCCCCTTTTTCTTCAACCATACTCCTTATTGTTCCTTATACATTCCATTCATAGGTTCCCCTTAGCACCTTTGAACCAGCCATTTTTTTCCTCTCTCCTTTGGCTAACACCCTCTCCTCTTCCTAGTCTTTCTTTACTCACTTCAATGAGGCTGTGTCCTTATAGATTGCTCTCTACCTGCCCTGGCATCCGGATCTTTCTTACTCAGCTCTTTCTCCTCCCGCTTCTATAAAGCTTACTACCTTCTAATATAATATATAGTATACCAAGTATTTCATCGCTTATATTATCTCTGTGTCCCTTTTGTTTTGTTCACCAACATATTGCAAGTCCTTGGAACACTGGCACATAGTTCTCAGTTGACATTTGTTGACTTCATTGACTAAATCAGAGGGACCAGCATTAAACACACAAAAGAAATTGTGATGGCTCTATATTGAAAAAAGCACACTTCATAATATGAAGAGAGAGTTGTTTTGGTTATCTAGTTGTTTTTTACAAAACATCCTCAAATGTGTGGCTAATAACATATTATTTCTCACAGTTTTCGGGGTTGGTAGGCATAGCCGGGAGGTTCTCAGTTGAAGTCCCTTAGTAAATACTGTCTGATGGTGGCTGAAGTTGAAGTCATCTGAGAGCTTCTTCATTCACATGATTGATGCCTGGGCTGGAAGCCAAAAAATTGGGGATTGGTCCAGTATCTTTTTCTCTAAGTGGCATCTCTATTTGACCAGCTTTGGCTTCCTCACTGCCTGGTGGTAGTTATGATTTTTTAAAAGACAGCTGAATTACCATTGAGCAAGTATTTCAAGCCCAGATGGCAGCTACAAAACTTATCATTTCCTTAGAAACCTCAAAACCATGTTCCACATGCACACACAAGAGGGGAAGGAATTGATCATGTCCACCTTAAATACAAGCCACCATAAGGCTTGTGAACTCATGAACTTGAGGACAAAATGAACTGTCAGCAAAGTTTATGGAAAGATTTAGGATAAGCAACAAATGAATGATAATACTATCTGGTCAGATTGCCAAAGATTCCTGTTCACTTCATATTTGTTATTTTATGTTAGATAAATTATGGCCATTTGGAATTTGATTTTTCATCAATAAAATTTAAAGTTAGATTACTAGGCTCTTCTGCAATTTAGCCTACTATGGTGGGAATCTTAAGACACATTCTTAAGGAATGAAAGTTAATGTAATTAAAGTAATTAATTACACCAGTAATTATGGCCAAGAGTTAGCTATTTAAATAAAAGCAGAAACTACAAGTAATTGGTGGGTCTAATTTTATGACAATGGAGAGATGCTGATTCAAGTACTTGGCCTTGTCTGCATGTATAGATGGTTAAAAAAAAAAAAAGGCACATCCTCTCACTTAAGTTTTGATTTTTATTGTTAGGTATGTTTATATCTGATAGTTGTCATATATATAAAGTATACTTATTACAAAAATGGATTAGTATTGTATACATATCTGTTTTTCAGTGAAATGCATGTGCTTTTTCAACAAACTTGAGAAAAGTTCCACTTCCTCAGGAAGAATTCTGCCACCACTTCAGGTCTACCTTTTCACTGATGCAGCCTAAATGGCTTTTCTAAACCAATGCCAGTTTCTTGGAAGGAAGCTGATGTAAAAGCTTTCAAAGTAACCATTTGCATCTGATATTCTTACAAAGCAGCATTCTGTTAATTTGTCTCTTTTTGAGATTTTTCTTAACATTATAGCAGAATGTTTGTTTGTTTATATTAGGTACAATCTGAGTTCATTAAAACAGATCTGTTACCCAGTGTGGTGGTGCACGCCTCTAACCTCAGACTCAGGAGGCTGAGGCAGGAGGATCACAAGTTCAGAGCCAGCCTCAGCAACTTAGCAAGGCCCTAAGTAACTTAGTGAGATCCTGTCATTAAATAAAAAATTAAAAGGGCTAGGGATGGGGTTCAGTGGTGAAGCGCCCTTTGCGCCAATTCCTGGAAACAGAAAGGGGAAGAGAAGATATCCATTCATTTACGTTAGCAATAGCAGTAACTGATTACCAGCGTTGTTGTTTTGGTTTGGTTTGGTTTTCTATTTCTTGAATATTATCATGAAGCTTCTTTACTATTGCAGCTTCATGTAACAGAGGGATCATTAAACTCAAAGTCTGATAACCTGGGCCTTCCTCCCCTCCCTTCCAGTGCTGGGGATCCACACCCAGGCCATGCCCCTAAGCTCAGCAAATGCTCTCCCACTGAGTATACACTCAAATGACTGTTTAATTCATTACATGTCCTTTTGCCTGTTGGACATAATTATCAGTATTCCACCTTCATCAAGGATTATTATAAGTATAAAATTAAATGAGAAAGTGCTTTTAAAAAGTAAAAATAATATTCAAATGCAAGGTATTTAATAAAAAATGTTTTTTATCTCTATAGTTTAAGGAGATTAATTTTTTTTAAAAAAACTTAAAATTGTGCTGAAATGCTTAGGTGCTATGTAGATAGAATTTCTTTACCTTGTAAGGAGTGTTTGTGGGAAAGATGGAAAGATGTCTCTGCTTCTTGCCTCATTCCTTTAATTTTTTTTTTTTTTGTAGTTGTTTTCACTTTTTCCAGATGAATGTCCTTATTTCTGTCTCTCCCTTCCTACCAACCAGTGCACATTTGCCCACAATTTTTTTTTTTTTTTTTGAAGGGAGCTACCATTAAGAAGGATGAGCAGACCGGGGCGATTGTTGTGGCTAGAATCATGAGAGGAGGAGCTGCAGATAGGAGTGGTGAGAGTCTAAATGTTCACTGAATATAGACAGATCACATTGTGTTTCATGACATTCCCAGTATATAACTTAAAAGATGACACTCTTTTAACATAATATGGGAACCTCCATAAATAAATGATGAATTTAACTCTGTGGTCTTAGTGTGCACAGGCTTTCAAAGTTATTTTAAGACCTGTTGCAGTATTTCTGATTTGCAAAATACCATTAAGAGCATGCAGCTTTTTAAATAAAGAAATATTATTTTATGAGATGTCAATAATGTTTGTTTCTAGACAAAGACCCAAGATACTGTTATCATTTTTGCCAGCATTATTATGCTATATTCTTTGACTCATTGCAATAGAGAGGCACGTAATCTGAAATCTGAGAAGTGTCTCCTTCTCAATCTTTAAATGTGCTAAAGGAGCTAATGATGATTTAATTATGGAAACAATTGAAAATTACAGTTTCTTTTATGGGTTACATTGCCTATTTTGTATTTGTCAGGTCTTATTCATGTTGGTGATGAACTTAGAGAAGTGAATGGAATACCAGTGGAGGATAAACGGCCTGAGGAGATAATACAGATTCTGGTAAGCTATAAATTTATTTTAAAATAACAATGAAAATAAAATCAACTCACTAAATTTCAGGTTTTTCAGACCTGGTTTGAAATGTACAGGATTTGGATTTAGTAGACCAAGTCCCTGTGTATGTTTGAAAAATACCTTAATTTATTTGTACCTCGGTGTTTTCATTTTCAGAATGAGAAGAGTTAAGTATCTCACATGTGTTAAGGGTTAAATGAGGTAATGTATATAAAGAGTTTAGAGAAAGGACATGGACTCTCCCAGAGTAAGTATAATCAGTCAGTGAGTGGTATCTATACTGCTAGAGGGGATGAATCCGTCATTGTCCTCCTCTTGAGACAGCCATCTTGCAGGCTGTGAATTCTAGTATGCAAGTCACAAGTCTTGAAACTGATTTAGAAGTCTTTTGAAATCCAAAACTTGAAGGCAATTGTTTTAGGCCTGCACACTGTTAATTCTTAAGTTTGAAGAAACTCCATAAAAGAAATGATAAATATTAAGGAGATATACTTAACTTGATTTGAACATTACACAATACATATATGTATTGAAATATCACATGGTACCTCATAAATATGTACAACCTTTATATTTTTATATATCAGTTGAGAAAATGAATTTAAATTTTAAAAGGAGGGGATTTTATAGGAGCACATAGAAATAATGACAGAGTACATGACAAGACCTCAAAGGGAGATTGTTGTTTCAACCAGGAAAATTCTAGAGACATGTGCCTCATCCATCAGTTCCCTCTCTCATCCATGTGCTTGCACATTGAGTTTAATCACACCCCAGGATCTGGAGCTGAGCCTTAGCATCACCTTCATCATGGAGGGGGGTGGGGGGCAGAAAATGAAAGCATTTATAAATCAGAAAAAAAGGATAGTCTCTACACTACACAGAAAAATAAATTTCCAATACGTTGAGTATTTAAGTGCCAAGCATCACAGAAATTACACAATAAAATACATGTAATTTTTATAATTGTAAGGTACAGGAAGACTTTTTAACCTTGATTCAAATTGAGAAATAACAGCTGTTTCTACTGAACTCAAAATTTTCTGTACAGAAAAAAAGACGCCATATTATAAACTTACGAGGCAAGTGAGATTATAGGGAAATATTTACAATATATATTATAAAAAGATCACATTTTAACATGTATTAAAACCATAAAAATCATTAAGAAGATATTATAAAAATCAGGGATATTTATATATACAATTTAAAAAAAAATTGAAAAACACTGGATTTCATTGGACTTAAAAGCTTGCTAATGCACAGAGTTGGCCAGAGTATGGGGAAATAGCTGTTTATGTGCTTCTGGGGATGGGGTAAATTAATAGGGTTTTTGAGATGGCCCTTTAAAACCATCAAAATTTTAAATGTGCATATCCTTTATTTAAAGATTCAACTGTTAGAACTTAATCCTACAGAAATAACTTGGCAAAGGTTTAAAAAAATTTTTTTTTTAAATATTGGAAACTTCGAAGAAGATTGCAATCATTTAGATGATGATTTACTGGGAAATAATCACAATAGCTGATAGACTTATGTGACTTAAAAATAATAGTACTAATAATAATTGCTAACAGTAACTGATCTCTTAATAAATGATACTGTTCTGAGGGATTTCCCTCCATTTTGGAAAATACACATAAGGTGGGAGTGGTGGCAAATGCCTATAATCCCAGCCAATGGGGAGACTGGGGCAGGAGGATCACAAGTTTGAGGCCAGCCTCAGCAACTTAGTGAGGCTCTAAGAAATTTAGTGAGACTCTGTCTCAGAAAATGAAAATGGCTGAGAATATGGCTCCGTGGTTAAGTGCCCCTGGGTTCAATTCCTGGTATCAAAATAAATAAATAAATAAAATATACACATAAAAATTGGAAAAGTCTGAGCGGATTATAAAGAAGATCTTGCTTTCTCTTTACCTGTGTAATTCAGTATTAGACTGAATTCTTAGTAAGATTTGTTAATTATTTTTGTGAATGTAAAAACAGTAATGCCATGGTAACAAAGATCACTCCTTTATAAATTGTGTTACTTACTGTGTTGGGCTGAAACTGAGGCCACTATAGCTTGATAGAGCTGACTCTGTGACATTTTCCTACCCAACTTTCAGAAACTACCAGTAAGTTGAAATTGGCTAAGGTGGGAGCATTTATACCATGGAAACTGGCCGACAGCATCATCAGCCCCACACCCTTTCAGAGTCTTGATTTACCAGCGTATCACTGATACTTGCATGGGGATGTCTTCCTCCTCTCTTCTCTCCCTCTTTGCCTTCTTTCCTCTCTGCCTGTCTTGTTTTCTTATTCCTTTCTTCCCTTTTTTTCTTCCTTCTTTATCTCTTTTAAACATATGCCAGGCTATTTAGTGCTTTTCTGGAGCTTTAAATTAAGCAGGAGTAACAGATCTTAAGAAATAATTGCATAAATACTTATGACTGTGATCAATGCTAAAAAGAGAGAGGCAAACAGAATATGAGAGTGTATTTAAAGCGGGGGCCTATCCTCGACTGAGTCAACAAAGATTGGTGATGCCTGTTTTGATTAAACTTAGAATAGACACTCTCTCTTCATCTTTTAATGAATCTATTGTATTTGGTATCTTACGAACCAGAACACAACATATTTGAATGTTCCTTATTTTTTCTCGTGGTCATTGCTGCTAAATGAATCATGTGTTTATAATCATAGTACTACTGACAGTAGAAGTATTTTGTCTCAAAACACATGGATGCCAGTATGTAAATGTAATAGCCTGAACTTTGCACATTATATTTTGCGTTTCTATTTTGAAGTAGCTTGACATGGATGATAATATTGAGGGAGGGATACCTTAGAAGTACACAGAAAGTAAAAGTGAATTTGGTGGTTAATGTTTTTTAACTTACTTGACAAACTTTAGAGCTTTCTCACATTACCGGAATTTCTACAAAAATAGTTTCCTCAGTTTGGTCTAAGAGCAGTAATCCTAAGCTTGTAAATTTTTAGATGCATTTAGCTTTCTACCTATTTTATCTTATTTTTCCTTGGCAAGAGTTTTCTTATGACTCTTTCTTTCACCCAATATCAGGGTCAGTCTCAGGGAGCAATTACATTTAAGATTATACCCAGCATCAAAGAAGAGACGCCCTCCAAAGAAGGCAAGGTAATCTTTTCTTAAAAATATTTTTGCATGTGGGAAGTAAGTTTTTTTTTCTTTTAATACATATCCACTTTTTCCCCACAAGTTTATTTTCATATTTTAGTCATTTGGATCATTATTTCTTAAATATACATTGCAAGAATGTAGGCCATTTCACATTTATTTTTTTTATATTTATTCTTCTTCAATGAAACTTTCTTCCAGATGTTTATCAAAGCCCTTTTTGACTACGATCCTAATGAGGATAAGGCGATTCCATGTAAGGAAGCTGGGCTTTCTTTCAAAAAGGGAGATATTCTTCAGATTATGAGCCAAGATGATGCAACATGGTGGCAAGCAAGGCATGAAGGTGATGCCAACCCCAGAGCTGGCTTGATTCCCTCAAAGCATTTCCAGGAAAGGTGAGCTCCTGGCATGGAATGGTGGCCTTTCTTCAACTGACCTTTTGTTCTCTGAAAAATTTCATTTCATCATAGTTGCGATAAAATAAGCTTTAAAACCCTGCCTTAGAATTCATTATCCCTTGGGTTTGGATTTCTGTTTTGTCTAAGTAAGTATGAATAATGACCAAAAATAATATGACAGTACCGGGTCATCTTAAGTTTTTGTTACAAAGCAAATGGAAAACAGCCCATTAATATCTGATAGTGTTGTGGTGGAAAGGTCGAGAAAAACAGTTGTTTCAGGAGCAGTGCAAATAATTAGAAAAATTTAAAGTAGAAGGTTTGTTTTATAACTGGAGAAAATTGCATTGTGTTTTTCCCTACCTAACTTGCAAGGTTGGGTTTTCTTTTCTTCTTTTTTTTTTTTAAGGATTTTTAATATTTTGCTGCTGCATTAACCTCAGACATATGCTGAAAATTGATAGGCGTATTGACCTTTTATTCCTCCAGGAGATTGGCTCTGAGACGACCAGAAATACTAGTTCAGCCCCTGAAAGTTTCCAACAGGAAATCATGTAAGTTTGTTAATAAGAATGCAGAGTAACTAAATCCTGCTATTTATTTTTGACTATTAAAGCAGGTGCTCATGGAAGAAAACAGAATCGTATTATCTTGCAATAGCTTTTGGATTATCATTTTTCAGGAACCAAAGACGTAAGAAATTCACAGTAGGAATATTAATGTGAATCTTGTGAAGAAAAGTGTGGTTGGAGATGTTTATAATAAACCCATGACTCACTCTTTAAGAAAATAACTCAAAACTACTGCTCTCTTTGATTTTCAAAGTTAACTATTTTGTAAATGTAACCTAGACTACAACTCTTCTTTCTCTAAATTCAGGAGATTTGGGCAGGATATTTCCAGATAAAGATTAGTGCAAAAATCCCACCATTTTCTTGGGCACAAAAGCATTTGTGCCTAAGAATAATTATGGTTCATAATTCCTTTCTTATCCACAGATTATATCCACAAATTATAAATTATTAAAACTCTGACCTTTGTTTCATATGATTGGATTTTATCACCAGACTAGATTTCCAGAAAATGTAAGAATAAGTAAGAAAAAGAATGATGTAGAGCTACTGAAAAACATTGTTTTTTTTTTCTTTCATCTTACCCTTCTCTCAGCTTTTCTTGACTTCCCACCTCATGCCCTCTCAAGTCTCCAGTTCATAAATTTCAGTTTAATCTCCCTAAATGTTTCATGGTTCTGGTTTTCTTTTAATAGTTTTTTTTTAAAGTCCCTTGTTTTAAGCATAGAAATTGTACATTAAAAAGTGAAATGAACAAATAAATGGCCCTGGAATTTTACACCAACATCTGTTTTTAGTATTGTTGCATTTTTCACATCTCCTGTTTTTTCTGTCAGTTTGTAGAATCTTAGAGCCCAGGAATCACATAGTAAGGGAGCCAGACTACAGTTGACTATAAATCCCATAGCAAGCAAATACTTTAAGTAGAACATTGATTCAAAAGCCTGCTTGTTCTTGCTACATTAAATCAGTGCAGAAGGAAAAAAAATTGTCATAATACGCGTGGCATCCTAAGACATTAGATGGCTTAAAATTTAATGGTGCGTTATTTCTAAGCATGGCGACTTTTCATTGGCAACACCCTACTGAAAGGAACGTTGAGACATTCACCTGACTGGCTCTTTCAGGGAGCATTAGATCAGAGGTGTACCCACATTTAATGGATAAACTGAAATATGACTACTTAAAGCCGAATGCAGACTCAAGTTTGTTTGAATCATAAGACAACTTAGAAATTTATGATTTGTTATAATTATGATTTTTTGTTTATTTAAAATTTTAAATCAATTGTATTTCTTTGCAAAACTATATACACAAAGGTTATTGGCTTTTCAGTAGCTCTCCCACATTGAATTTGGTATAGATGTGTGTGAATTTAAATGTGAGAAGAGTGTGTGTATATGCGTGTATGTAGACAGCATTAATTGTAATAAAAGTTTTTTCATCTGTTGATTTGCACAGTTTCTTTTTGATGTTAACACTTCAGTGTTTAGATCTGAGAAGTATTCATTTTTTTGACTTTTTTTTTTTTTTTGGCTTCTTGAATGCCATTTAGAAATGTTTCTTGATCTTCTGTTTTCTTACTTCTCCTACTTTTCTCTTTTCTTTTAAAGTAGGTATTGATTCACTAAAAGATGTATTATTTGTTCTCATATCTTGGTGTTATTAATTTTTAAGTAAAGCTATCCAAGGATTATCCAAATAAATCTTTAGGCTATGGTAATATGGCCTTGTTCAGAGACAGTATGTTTATGTGAAAATTATAGAAGGCTAGTGTCTTTATTCTGAAAGAAATGAAATTCTGTTTGATCTTTGAATATTGTTTTATAAATTTAAAGTCTGTTCATAAGTCATTGTGTTGGTTCTGAACATTCTTAGTGGCATTTAAAAGCATTTTAACCTGTGCATTTGGTAGTGATTCTTTAAATATAGCTGTATCATTTAAAGGTCATCTGACTCACTGCTTCTTAGAGTCAACATTTGGTACTTAGATTTTTGGAATAGGAAGTTTATGTTATCATGCCCTTTGCTAAATTATAATCTATAAGGAAAATAAAAATTTGGTCTAAAATAATTTTTATGATTTTGAATATTCATGAAAACTTTAAGAAAAGTTTCTTACAGTGCTAAATAAAATGTTAAATTTCTGAAAAATAATTCTTTCATGTTGGTGTTACAACTTTATGAAAAACTTATAGTGATGAAAATTTTCCATACTTATTTTTACAAGTGCCTTTAAGTGCTAGGAAGATATTATAAGCATTGGGTCTGGAATAATGAACTTAGTCATCTAGTAATATGTGTTAAATTGGTTAATTTTTGTTCCTGGGTGATTGCTTATATTGCTATGATTTTACTCTGTATTTAGTTCTTAAGTATATCACCATACTGAAATTTTCCATGGAGAAAAAGTTCATAGAAGATGACTCTGGAACTGTAGAGGTTCAATTAATATTAACATAGAAAGCAAAAAGGAATGGCAAATTCTAATCATGTCATCTTTGCAGTTATATTTGTGCTAGAGCTCTGGTACCTGACTCTAAGGTAAATAAAGTCAGGAGATATGATAATAAGAACCTCTTTAGGCTTTGAAATTAGCATCCTTATGCAAAACTCACAATGTAGGTGGCATTCATCTTTGTAGCTTGGTTTTTATCTCCTCTTAAGAATCTTGGCCTATTTACATATCCAGAAAATAGGCTTCCCAAACAAAATAATTTGCTTCCTAAAATTGAACATTACTAAAATCAAAAAAATGGACTATATTTTTTAAACAGAGACAAAACAATATAATTTTATTCTTGGTGAATGAAATAAATAACCTCTACCCTAATAAAGTTTATAGTCTTTTAATATTAGACCCAAGCCAACCTTTACTCAGGCCAAAATTTCCCCTAACTTCTTTCTTTTTTATCTTTTATTTATTTTATTTTTTTAAATACACAACAGCAGTGGAATGCATTACAATTCTTATTATACATATAAAGCACAATTTTTCATATCTCTGTATATAAAGTAAGTTCATGCCAATTTATGCCTTTATACATGTACTTTGTTTTTTGCATTACAATTCTTAATACACATATATACCACAATTTTTCATATCTCTGTATATAAAGTGTGTTGACACTTAATTCAAGTCTTCATACATGTACTTTGTATAGTGATGTCCATCACATTCCACCATCCTTGCTAATCCCCTGCCTACTTCCCTTTCCCTCCCACCCCTCTGCCCTATCTACAATTCATCCATTCTTCCCATGCTCTCCCTCCCTACCCCACTATGAGTCAACCACCTTTTATCAGAGAAAACATTCGGCATTTGTTTTTTGGGGATTGGGACTCTTAAAATGAAAATATTCTTAAATCTTAGAAGCTTAATATGGGGACTCATCTCCTTTCCTCCCCTTTTCTGCTTTTTGGAGGAATTGCCTTTGCAACAACAACAGCAGCAACAAAAATCTCTAATAGAACTTTATTTTCCTTCCTCCCATCATCTAATGATAGGCTTCCACCTAATATATTTGTATCAGGAACAGAGATAAAAGAGCAGACCTAGATGTCTGATAGCCTTTCTTTGATATGATGAATTTTGGTTTATTACATAAAAGAGGAAGTTTAAGTGTTCTGGAAATAAGTATAGGAGAATCTTATGTCTCAAGTCACATACAGGAGTAGTTTTTTATAATGGAAACTTGGCAGCTTACATTTCTGTTTCAAAATACTTTAAAGTAATTACTTTTGTAGTTTTGCATTTATATAGTATATGATATCACCTGACCTAAAAGAAATGTGAATTTATTTGAAATATTGTTTGTTCCTCTTCTATTGAAATCTAAATGTGTGTGTTAAGAATTCTTACTAATTACATTAATGCTGACTTCAATAGGATATAATTTATATTTAAATGAAATATAAATGGTATTCAGGAAGGATGGAGAAATAGCTCTTTGTTATATAGTATATATTACAACAGAACATTCAAGTATGATTTTTATTTTTAGTACTTATATTTCCTTTTTTAGTTATAAAAGAGTAAATACCTGAACATTTCTAATATGACAATTTAAATAACACTAATTTGAAATATTTTAAAAAGTATCTCAGAAAATTTGTCATAAAAGAAATGAGAGTAGTTTTTGACATTTTAAAGCTTAGAACTTAAAACTAAAATTTTATAATTTGTTTCAACCAATTTTAATTGTTTATGTGCATAAAAAGAAAATATTTAAGAGCAGACGCATGATGTCCATTCAAACAAGGTGTTACCTGCTTCTTTCAAGACAAGCACACAATTGAATGCAGATCACTTTATCCAGGGAAAGAATTTTAAGCACTGAAATAATGAATTCCCTGTACATGGTCCCAATATCTTAGAAGGCCACATATGTAAGAAATATATGATAGGAACTCTACAGGTTGTTGTAATAAAGCTTTTCAAGTTGAGTACATTCCTCCTGGCATACTCAATAATATTTATTCAGTGTTTTCACACATAGAGTTAATTCAGAAACAAATAGATTGCTTATGTTGTGAAAATTAGGTTTGTATGTGTAAACTTTGTGAAACGTTTTCTTAATGGGATTTTCAGTAAACAGAAACACATGGAGTTTTTTTAAAAAAATTCTAAAAGTATTTTCCTTTATGGATTAGTCAGCTTTCTGTTATCTTAGCAAATGCCTGAGATAATCAACTTATAAAAGAACAGGTTTACTTTGGCTCGAAACTTTGAAGGCCCCAGCCCATGAATGATGGAGCTTTGCTGTTTTTGAGCCTATGACTAGGCAGTGCACTAGGGTGAGAGCATACAGTGGAGCAAAGCTGCTCCCTGGGTCCCACAGTCCCTTTCAAAATCACACCCTCAGTGACTGGAAGACCTCTCACTAGGCACCATCTCCTAAAAAATTCTACCATTTGCTGGTAGTGCCAAACTATTGACCATGCCTCTATCCAACACATGGAAATGTGGGAGACGTTCCAGA